AAAAAAAAAAAAAAAGAACCTATGAGGTCTGGAGCCTTCAAAATATACCCAAAACTAGATCCCTTCTCACCCCATCCACTGCCACCACCATCACTTGTACTGTGGTGGCCTCTGCACTAGTTACCCTGCTCCTGCCCGTGCCAGGCTCAGTAGATGCTCAATAAACATTCTCTGAACAGAGAATGAACACCTTCCAGAAAACCACTCAGTTTAAGTCTGTTCAATTTTCACCTCCTCAGAGAAGCCTTCCCTCATCCTCATCAAAAATAGCTTCCCTTGTCCAGCTGGTGTGGCTCAGGGGTTGAGTGTCGACCCATGAACCTGGAGGTCACAGTTCAATTCCCGGTTGGGGCATGTGCCCAAGTTGCGGATTCAGTTTCCAGTAGGGCATGTGCAGAAGGCAGCCAGTCAATGACTCTCTCTCATCATTGATGTTTCTCTTTCTCTCCCTCTCCCTTCCTCTCTCTGAAATAAATTTAAAAATATTTAAAAAATAAAAAGAAAGAAAAAAACATAAAAATATAGCTTCCCTTGCCCAGTCAGTGTGGCTCAGGGCTTAGAGCATTGGCCTGGGCGCAGAAGGGTCGTGGGTTTGATTCCTAGTCAAGGGCATGTACCTGGGTTGCTGATTCTATCTTGGGGTGCATGTGGGAAGCAACCAATCCATGTCTCTCTCTCACATGGATGTTTCTCTCTCCCTCCCCACCCTCCCTTTCACTCTCTCTAAAAATCAATGGAAAAAAATATCCTCCGGTGAGGATTAACAACAAAAAATTGCTTCCTTTTGTTCCCCACACCAGTCCTGTTTTATCCCCCAAGTCTGCTTTATTTTTGCATCTTAGCATGCCACACTATAAGCCATGGTAATTATTGACTTTTTTATCCGATTTGCTATGTTTATTGACCTATTTATCTTGTTTATTGCCTACTTATCAACCCATTTATCTTGTTTATTGTCTGTTTATTGACTTATCTCATATATTATCTCTTTTTGCCCTCTACTTATTCTAAGAGCCAAGAACAGTGCCTTGCACATAGCAGGGGCTTGACAGGTCTGTTGAATGAATATTCAAGGAGGCAGGTAGTATGCATGGCAGGCGGCGTGGAGGGAGCTCACCTCCATGCGGTCAAGGGTAGTGCGGCTGCTGCGAACGATGCTGTTGCTATAGGCACGAGCACTGCCTGGCTCAGAGAGGGGCCCGTAGCGCTGGCCCAATAGCTGCCCACGTAGCCTCAGGTACTGCCGACGCAGTGCTGGGGGGTGCCCAGCCTTGGCATTCTCCCGCAGTAGCTGGCTGCGCCTTCGGATATACTGTGTCCGAAACTGTGGAAACGTTGGTGTGCGGTATGCGTTGTACCTGCGATGGCAGGAGGCAGGCAAGCAGCAGGCACAAGACAGAGGGAATCAATCAGCTCCGAGGATAGGGAAGGAGAATGAGATGTGTGGCAGGGAGGGGTAAGGATGGTAAGTGATCAGCAGTGGTGATGGGGGTTCCTCTGGTAGTGTGACAAGGGTGAGTTTACAGTAATAATGGTCATGGAGAAGAGGTTACTGTAGGGACAATGGAGGCAGTCTGCAGCTTTGCTGAAGTCGGTATGGGGTGACTGAGTCAGTGCAGCCAATAATAGGGGTCAGTCTGACATGGTGATGGGGGTTACTGTGGGGCAACTGCGGGGTTCAATATGTGATGGTGATGGGATCAGACGGGAAATGATGGTGGTAAGAGAGGTCTGGAGGGCAATGGCGGGAAAAAGGATGTCACCAGCCTGAAGTCATCACTTCCCCGCCCCCGCCAAAGGTTTTCTTTGCGCATGCCCACATCGTACTGCATTTTCCCAGCGTGCTCTTTATGACCCTCTCTGGCCAGCCCTTCTCACTGAGGGCCAGCTCCAACAACCTGATACTGCGCATGTTCACCTCCCGCAGGCCCACGCAGCCGCATAAAGCAAGGTTTCCGCCCAGCCTCACTTATTATCAATGCGCATGCACCACAGTAACTTCCGCTCCCACGGGATCTGACCCCACGTCTCACCTCGCGTCTACTGCTAAGACCTGCTGCCACACCGCGGCCATTACCCAGCCTCCTCTTCTGCCGTGTCCGCCCGCGGGCGCCTGCAGGACAAGGGCCTGGAATGTCAGCGTCTCAAGTAAAGGGGTCTAATTCCGCCCCTTCTGCCAGGCGATCCTTGCCATAGACACTGAGTCCCTCCAAGCCAAGATATCGTGAAGTCACACCCGGCTATTAGCATGGTCAACACCCCAGCCCTGCCCTGCCAGCTCCCGGAAGACTCAAAGCGGCGATTCAGACCTCAGTCTGCCCCTCCCAGGTTGCCATAGCAACGCCCCTCCCCCAGCCTAGCAATCCTTCTTGGCCTTCCCCACCCATCTTGCTCCCACCGCCCGCCACCTTCTCTTTTCGGGTCCAATAACAGGGCCCGGGATCAGGGACCACCTCCGGGGCCGCCTCCGGCTCTTGAGGCCCCCGG